AATTTAAAAGTCAGTCTGTCAGGATAGAAAGCCGTTTATAGACTTATCCTTCATTCATAAAACCTTACATAATTTTACAGAATACACATATCCATCTTTCATAGGGTGACTTATTTAAAAATCAGAGCCTGCATACAGGAATAGAAAACCGTTTATAGGTTTTATCCTTCATTCATACAGCCTTACATAATTTTGAAGTATACACGTATCACCTGCATTCATTTGGGGTGGTTCTTTACGAACCAGAGCCTATTCCACTTATATAAAAATAGTAAATAAACAAATAAACTGTTTATTATACTATATATATATATAATTACTGTGTTTCTAAAAAAATTCGAAAAGCTCCAAAAAGTTCACCAAAACTCGGTAATTTTTACCGAAGCGCGTTAGTAATGATTTTGGACAAAATAACCACTACTAAGTATAATGTTATAACATGCGATAAAATTTAGTTAATGTGGCAGTTTTGGTAATTTTGTCATAATTTCTTAAAGCGTGGTATAAAAACCATTCATTCCGTTAATTTAATTTTAAGTTTTGCATTTTTTTACTAAATGTTTTGTAATACGAACTATAATTTTGAAACCAGAATTTCCGGTAAACCTTTACCATATGTTCTCTAAAATTACCAAATGAAGGGTTTATAAATACCATATATTTTTGTTTTTATTACCAGAATTATGTTGCTGTTTTTTTTACCAGAAATGTAATCACCATACAGTAAGGTAATTTCAGAATTTTTTTTCTTTGTGTATAAATTTTACCATTCATCGTTAAATGTCAAATTATTTATTCTGGAGTTAAAAATTTAAAAATGATTTAATAAAAATATTATATTCAAGTTCATATAAATAATTTATTATATGCTTATAATAAATGAAAGTCATGTTCGTTATATCTTATTATAAAATCCAATTATATGATAAACCAATAATAAGAGGTTAAGTTGACCGCATAACATACAATAAATACTCCGCAGTCCTTATCTAATGCCATCCATCTAGCGTATTAAATGTTCCATGATTAATTCGCTCTATGAAAATAAACCTACCGTTTACCTATAAATGAATTCTGCCTTGGAAATTCCGTCTAGCCTTTAAGCAGATAGGAGCAAGCATTTTACGGGAGAATTGACAGCTATAATCGGCCCAAATTGATCCAGATTGAGCATCACAAATCTTTAACCCTTTTATAGTTACTTAGCATAAATAATTTCTTACTTTCAAGAGAGGAGCTTCTCAATTACTCAGGTATAAAACTACATACACACTGCTTTATAACATACAAACAATTTAGTTGTTGATGAAATTTTATTACAAACATTTTAGATTTAATGAATTTCTCTTTGTATATCTCGTACTCTTAAAATTCAATCCACGTTTTTTTTTAAACTTGAAATATTCATTCAATTTTTTAAGTTTTAAAAGGAAAAGGCTTTGAATCTTTTTTTTAATCTATTACACTGTTGAAATTTCTCAGAAAAAATGCTTAAATAACAATTTATTTAAATGTTATTTTACCATATTCAAACAAAACAAATAAATAACCATGAATAAGATGGTATTCAAACTGTTAACTGTGAGAAAAACAGTTTATTAATTGCTTCCACACAATATGTTTAGACAACCAGAATTTTATCGCACCAACTGGGCCTACCTAATAAAACCGCTTAGCTCCTTGCAGCTGGGTTCATGACATAGACGAGTGGGCTAGTCTGTCTAATATGATCGACTGAAGGGGAGTTCGAGTTCCAGCGTTGACTATGTAATATTTCATCGATTCCCTTCAACACATGAAGAACTTTCAGTACCCTGTACTCCCCAGTTTGTGACCATGGACTATTAGAATACGATACTCTCACTTACGAATAGCTGGCAGCACCATAAAGCTGTTTAACACAAAAAAAAATTACTATTTTTTATCTCTTACTGTACTAGAAACAACCAGATGAACTAATTGAACCACATTCCAAGTTTCAATGATAGAACTCAACTCAACCACAGCCTAACTCCATTACTCGTTACCTAAAGGAAAAGCTTAGATTCAATGTCCAGTTAATTTTCCTTTTTTTGGTCTTGAAACCATACTAGTTGCAAATGGTTAAAAAAACGTATAGTTTTGTATTCATGGTTTTTTAACTACTAGTTGTAAACTGTTTCAAAACCGTAACGGTAAAATATTGTTCTTTACCGTAAACTTTACGGTTAATTGGAGGGAGAGACTGCCCCCCGTTATTTTACAGTAATTTTAGAATGAAAATTCTAACAGTGCATAAAAAGTTGAGAAAGGAAAAGTTTATTTAACAATTGAAAAAAACATTATCAACCAGGTACAAGAAAAAAAGCATTAAAAACCACAACTTTAATAAAGGTTTTCGCTTTTTCAGTTCATTTTCAGAAGATAAAAATAAGCAGTTGGTTTTATATTATATTTAGCAGTTTCAAATATTAAATAGGCAGTTGGTAAAGAATTTCGTGATTTATTCTGGTAAAGCAATGTTTTGTTAGCTTCTGATGTAAAATATTTAAAAGTAAAAAATATTTTTCTGCAAGAATTTTTATTCAAAAGTTATAAAATGTACATAAAATGTACATTTTTATGTACATAAACGACTGATTCTACCATTTTAAGAATATTTGTGTTACGAACTGATATTTTTGCAACTTTTCAGGTATGTTCATACTTTTACGATTAAAAATGAAAGGAAAGAAAGATTTAAAAATAATAACTAAGTTTCATTAACTTCGATTAAGTTGTAAGNCGGAAGATGCCGGAAGTGTTGCTCATTTAGCGTTACCCAGTGGGCACCTGTGAACCTAAGTCACGGAGGCGAGCAACATTACCCACGCCACACTGCCACAAACCCGTTCATAGGGTGGGCCACATTCACACATCACACACAACAGAGGACAGCACAGAGAGAAACATCCATGCCCAGAGCGGGATTCGAACCCGCAGCCATTGGCTCCGCAGTCAGGCACGCTAACCGCTCGGCCACCTGGCCGGCTTAACTACTAGTTGTAAACGGTTTAAAAACCGTAACGGTAAAAAATTGTTCTTTACCGTAAACTTTACGGTTAATTGGAGGGAGAGACTGCCACCCGTTATTTTACAGTAATTTTAGAATGAAAATTCTAACAGTGCATAAAAAGTTATGAAAAGAAAAGTTTATTTAACAATTGAAAAAACATTATCAACCAGGTGCAAGAAAAGAAGCATTAAAAACCATGACTTTAATAAAGGTTTTCGCTTTTTCAGTTCATTTTCAGAAGATAAAAGTAAGCAATTGGTTTTATGTTATATTTAGCAGTTTCAAATATTAAATAGGCAGTTGGTAAAGAATTTCGTGATTTATTCTGGTAAAGCAATGTTTTGTTAGCTTCTGATCTTCAAAAAAAAAAATTTTTTAATGTAAAATATTTAAAAGTAAAAAATATTTTTATGCAAGAATTTTTATTCAAAAGTTATAAAAAGTTATGTCTCCCAAAATTTTTATGTACATAAACGGCTGATTCTACCATTTTGAGAATATTTGTGTTACGAACTGATATTTTTGCAACTTTTCGGGTATGTTCAGACTTTTACAATTAAGAATGAAAAGAAAGAAAGATTTAAAAATAATAATTAAGTTTCATTAACTGCGATTAAGTTGACATTGAACTTTAAAAAATAATAACAGAAGAAAAACCATAAGAAAGCAAAGAAGTAAAAGGAAACAATTTCTTAAAGAGATTAATAATAAAAGAAGAAAAATAATTACAAATAATTAATTTTAGTAATTATTTTTAATATTTTTTCTCCTTTTTATTAATAATCTCTTACAACATTTTTTTTCCCACTTACCTTTCTGTTTACTGTGTTCTTTTCATGTTTATTCTATTTTCTAGTTTATTCTTGTCACAGAACAACTTTCCCATTAATATTTAGTGACAAATTTTGTGTTTAAGAAGACAATTAAAACTTTAGTCACTCAAAAACATTATATCTAATTTTAGAACAACTTTTTAGAAAAAAAATTAAATATGTATACTGTCCCTATTGTAGATACTTTTTTTATACCACAATATAAATGAAGAACATCATATAACAAAGCCTTAGCTTTTATAAAAAAAAACTTTCATATTAATATTAATAAAGAATTCATTGTGTAAGCTCTCTATGAATATGAAGTTAGGGCTGGTATTTTTCACCTTCTTATTTTTAACTTCTCATGGTGATTCGCAACATAAATGAACCGATAAATTACAACTTTTCAAAGTTTAGTAGTAGAATTCAGTAACTACTTACAATCAAATACATCAGCAAGATAAAAAAAAAGATAATTAAATATAAATGAAAATTAAAATATAAATAACTCTTAGATCATATAATTCAAAATATAGTTTTATAAATCCATAAAAATACAGGAGAAGGTGGGGTAATACCGTATAGCTAAGATTCGTAGACCTGTTGAAGCTAAATTGTTCGAGCTAGAAACTGTCTGATTTAACCAAGATATTCATTGTCTAGTTTCATACAATATATCAGTCTCTGAGCCATGGTGACTAAGGGGATACAGCGCTCGCCCCCCCTCAACGAGGTGACCCGGCTCGCACTGACCACAGTGTTGACGTAAAATATCCTCAGTCATGGATTAGAAGCCCCTTGTCATCAGGTAAACCCAGGGAGGATTTCGTGGTCTACCTCTCCATGTAACGCAAATGCGAGTTATTTCCATCAAATAGTCCTCCACGAAGGCAAATTTCTCCCAATACTTGATCCAGGAGTACCCTCGTCTTCTGGATTAGGTTCAAAATTATGAGTCTACGGAGTTGAGCATTGGTAGTCATAAACCCAAAACTAGGTCGGCTGTTTAAGGACGATAATAAAATAAAAAATATATCATTCCCAAAAAGTCATAAATCTATTACTTTTTATATGAATGATTTCTTTCTAGAAAAAAGTCAAACCGGATACACAAGATAACCATATGGTAAATTTAGAAATACTAAAATTTCAATAAAAAAGTAGTAGATATTTCTATTTTGTTTGGCAATTTAATAAAATTATGCATGCAATTCACATGTGATATAGTCAAGATCGTACTCAAAAGGGAGGGGAAAAAGAAAGACAAATNCAGAACATCCTTTGCTGACTAATAGATCCCATGATCGTTGCCTTAGTGAGCAGTTGGCCCAGGGTTGATAAAAATTATAGATAATTTTTGCAAAAGATATATATATATATATATATATATATATAAACTGCAATTTTGCATATAAAGGTCTTCAAAAATTCTACAAAATATGAAAATAAGGCTTTTTGTTCCACGCTATAAATTTTATCCTGGGGTCCGTAAAACCTTTGTTCAGTCTTAAATGTTGTTATCTTCTTCCTCCGCTGCACTGCACCGCTCGTGGGCCAGGCATAGATTTTGTTCAAAAGGTTGAGGGCAAAATCGGATTGTACCCTGTCTGTTCCCAAGAGCAGAGGTTATAAAAACGAAACAGAAATGTACTACTTATTGAGCTATATTCTTACTGTTTGTTAAGGTATAAACTTTCATTAAGCGTATAATAAGCTGGACTGAAAATAAGTTTTATAACTGCAAGGACCAATAACTAAGGATAGTTTAAAAACAAGAAAACATTAGAGAGTTTAGATAGTGAAACAACTTTATCAACACAAACGCCATGAATTAATCAGCAACAATTCAAAACTATTTTTTTAATTTAGAAAGACAATTAAAAATCGCATTTATTAAATATTATTATCAACAACATTTCCTTTTAAACTGTATTTATTCGTAAATGTCTGGAAAATCTATCAATTCTTAACATTCTCAAATAAAATATCAGAGTCATTTTCAATGTTTATATAAATCAATTACAGCCTCTCCTATATCTATAGAAATAAGTTTGAAAAAATGATAAATTGTTTCCCAACATTTTCAACAATGTATTACTCTATAACTATTATTACATAGAATGTGGATTATTAAATAAAAACACTTTTGTGGGCTCTGTTATCAATAGCTACATGTCAGGAAGTTAGATTTCAATGTTTCCTTACGAAATAGGTCTGCTAAAGAATGAATAGTGTCTGGGTCTGAAACATAACAAACTGTAGTACAATAGTCTCCAACTCAAACAAACAACTTCTTCAGGAAGTCGATGATTCGAATGTCTGCATTTCAAAGACTTCAGTCAAACAAACGTACCGACTAATGTGAATCGAAAAACATGTTTTTCTCTAAGAATGGAAATATTTTACTTGGAAAGTTTTCTGATATAAGGTAGAGTTTCTATTTGCTATATATTATAAGGAGAAAAAAAAATCTAGAGAAATTAGCGTATTTTTGTGGTAGAGATATTTGTGGTAAAAGAAAGTGTAATTCTTGTAATAAAACCAAAACATAACTTTAATAAAGCCATTTATTTTGGTAATTTTTCCATTCGTATAGCGGAAATTTTGATATTCAAAATTATATTTCCTATTACCGAGCATTTAGAAAAATACAAAACTGAAAAATAAATTTAACCGAATAAATAGTTTTTATACTATGCACAAAGTATCAAGATAAAATTACCAAATTTCACCATATTCTGGTAGCTTTGACAAAACTTTTTTCTCAATGTACTATTCCAATTCAATTAAACTGAGTACAATAATGAGATAGGAAAACTTTTTCTTTGTGTGCGTGTATATATATATATATATATATATACCACNACAAGAAAACACTAAGAAAGTTAAGAAAAACAATAAGTAACATTTATTGCGCTTAAGCTGCAAGTAAACAGAACTCATTAGATAAGTTCAAAATGAAGAATAAAACAAAGAAAAATTATAGACGTATGAAAAAAAGGGGGGGGGAATAATAAGTAAAAAAATAACTAACAACAGTATTTAAAAAAAGAAAAAAAGATTAAATTTTATTTAAAAAACCGGAAAAAGCGATATAATCTTATCATCAGCCCACACGATTATATCCGCAAAGCAGAATGCTATCTGTTATTGTTTATTGTTTTTCTTAACTTTCTTCGTGCTTTCTTGTATTTATTTATTTATTTATATATATGGCGAGGAAGGAAAATTAACAGCTCCATTTTGTAACCCTTAAAATGTACGATCAGGAGGCATTTTCCGCCCTCTTTTTTAAATATTTTTAAATTTGATGATTCTGGCACTATCCAGATTGATTAAAATTGACAATGTTGTATAAATATTTATAAGCATGTGTATATAATTTCTGAACGTACAACGCTCACCCTTTTGTATGAAATAACTTTTAAAAACTCCTTACTATACGAAGAGTTATGACCAGCTGTGTTAAATAAACTGACGACATTAACAAAGAGTTCAAAACACGTCTGTGTTAAAAAAAATAAAAGCAAGGTTACATAACATTTTCCACCCTGGTAAAAAGATATTTTTCAAATTGGCGCTGATGGTACCTCCTTTACTTTTGCTTCTGTCGTATTTGGTCTAATTTAAGTTTTATTTGTGAGGTTCTATAAATATTGCTAGACATATATAGGTATTTTTGGAATACATAACACTTGCTTTTTAGAATGAAATTGGTTTGAAATTAATTCCATGGTACAGCAAATTATAAAAAAAATCACTAAGGGTCTACAAAATAATCTAGACAACTATAAAGAAACAAAGCAAACTCTAGAAGGCATTGCAAAATATTAATTACTTGAGACAACAGAAAAGAGGACGTCTTCATTTCTACATTACCAGGATTCGAACCTGGATTAACTCACTTAAAATCAATAAATTGCGGCCTTCCGCCTTTGTTTTTGATTTGTAATCTTTTTATATTTCAGTTTTGTCCCAATATAACATTTTCCACAATATTTTTAAATTGAAGTAGAAATTCATAAGAAAATAGTAAAGTGTTCAACAGTTGATATGAAACTATCCCTCGCTATTGAACAGTTTAAGCAAGTATCTTAGAACTATTTGTTAAGATTACAAATTCTGAACATAAGGAAAGCAATTTATGATTTGGTCAAAAGTAATTCTGGAAAATTTATTATTATTATATTATTATTTTGCGCGTTATACGAAATAATTGCATTATAGCTGCACTTCAATCTACATCAAAGTGTTAAAGTTAAAATTATTTATAGCAAATTTTGTACAGTACAAAAAAAAAAGACTTTTTATCATTGCCTATTTAACCTCTAAAATGCAATCTTTGTCTACTTGAGTCACGTTCGATTTTCATTTATTTCTCCTAAGAAAATTTAAATAATGGAGATTTTTGAATAAAAAACACAGTTACAATGTTTTTTTGAATTTGAAATAGTGTATGTAATTTTTAGGCTGCACCTTTTGTCATCTTATTAAAACATGAAGAATTTATACTAATAGGAGTAACCAAAGCTTGTGACAGTAACTTTCTGGCAGTAAAATTCTATATAAAATAATCAATCGTTATCAGGACATCAAATTTAAAAGGTTATTACGTATTCAAGCTTAATTTTTTTATAAACTTATTAAAATATTTGCAAAATCTAATATAAATCAATGATTATATTTTCAGGTATTTATTAAAACTGAACTTAAAGTAGGAATCATTTTGGTAAAAGAAGGACAGTCTACCGAAGAGCAAATTTTGGACAATCATGAAAATACTGAGCTGTTCGATGATTTTCTAACTATTTTAGGCGATAGAATACGTTTAAAAGGTAATCATTTACTAAAATAACTAAACATTCCATTTTATATTTTTTTAAATTTTCAAATTATACTTGAAGTCTCTACTTATAATGATTACATTTCTCAAATAATCGAAATTCTGTAACGGACATTTTCTAAATGTTTTTAGACTTTTTCGAATTAAATGAAGAATTGTTAAAAAGAAGAATGAGTGAATTGCAATAGCAAAAGAGCCTGAAGCGGCCATACTGCGCCAATCAGAAGCGTTATTGCGATTTCAATTTAATGAAATTTGAGGAAATTAAACTTAGTTATTAAATAAATAGAGATTTACTTATCGTTTTATCTAAAGGAGCAAAAATTAGTACATCGAATTTTTTATTACTAACTTTTTATTTGAAAAATGCTTAAATTTCTCAAAATGTTCACATATAAATTAAAATAGTTATTTTACTATTGCAATTACATTAACAAAATATGTTCTTGAATTTATGACACAATTGTATTATTATAAATATCGAAAATTATTATTTGCTAGCAATAATAACTTCAGAAGATGAGCTATATTTATTTTTAATTTCCTCTATCATTTTAATATATTCTAAGAGAATTCTTCAGAATTTCGTAAATCTGAAACTTTTATACGAGATTAAAAATATTCATTCAAATTCATATTGATATAAATTGCGTGTTTACCAACTTTCTCTCTCCCCAGTAATTGATTTCAGCGTTCCTCTTCCTGAAGCCTTGACATTTACCCTCAGGCGTTACAGTATGCCACAAGATTCTATTTCCAAGATAATTACTTTTGGATCGTAATTTTATAAATTCAATAATTGCTGGATATTTTTACTCGCTTCACTTCCAAGTAATTTCTTAGCTAGATGAGCACAGAAAAATAGAGATAGTTATAATGGATAATAGAATAGTATTTGAAACTTGTTTTTAAAATATTGATTTTTTTGTATGATGTGCCGATTAAACATTTATAAAATTTATGAGTTCAATTTAAGACACAATTTTATAAATAGTGTTTATTTCAATCTTCGTTCTTAAGTAGAATTAAATATGAAAAAATTCTTGAAGGGTAGTTGTTTTTAACTTCTGTTACTTTTTGTAAAATAATTGTTAATTCTACAATTCTTATTTTGAATATTCTTAATATTATCCATTTTTTTCCTTATTCTGCATAGTTTGAAAATTGAATGTGTTAATTATAAGTTAATTGTTTATTTCAATTTTATTAAACTATCAAAACATACTAACAACTGCAAAATAATTATACACCTGTAAGTTATACGTGCTAATTGTTTTTAATGAACTTTCATTATTTTGTAAAATATGAAGAAGTCTTATGTGTCTTAAATATTATTCCGTGTATTGTTAACTTATCTTTAATTAATTATTTTAATTTATAAAGAGTTATTATGTCAACCACCTCTCAATTTAGAGTAATTTTTTCTTCTTGTTTGGTATAAACTGAATAACGTGTTTCCCTTTTTAAATTTCATATTTTCCAAACCTCAGTGGGTTAGGCAAAAGCAATTTCCGCAAGATATTTATTCTTTCAAAGTAAACCCGGATAGGAAAATCAGCTAAATTGAAAAGTTACGTGTAAGTCTCATATGATTTGATATTAGAAATAATAGTTTGGTCTTTGTTACAAATGCACATAAGTGCACACGCGAAAACAATGACATTAAAATCTGATTATTGTCTATAAAAATTCCATTTATATGACAAAATAAAATTTAGACTTATAATGCAGTTTACTCATTTGCAATAAAAAAATGGACTGTTAGCAGCTTCGGAGAAACTTTTAAGGATGTAAAAAAATGGCTGTTAGCTAATATTTTTCTTCATTTGATTTTTTTCAAAAATTATAACAAATATGAATATATTTGACTATTCTTTTAAAGCAATAAATGTATATCTAGGTTTTGACAAGTACAAAGGCGGCCTTGACTCTGTACATGATCTCACTGGTAAAGAGTCTGTGTATACCTCATGGAGGGGAATCGAAATTATGTTTCATGTATCCACCATGCTCCCTCATGAAGAACATGATCTTCAGAAAGTAAGAATATTACCCCTCTAACTCTTTTTAAAGACAACCGCTAAAGTTTAAAGATAATCGCGAAAGTTTAAAGATAATCGCGAAAGTTTAAAGATAACTGCGAAAGTTTAAAGATAACCGCGAAAGTTTAAAGATAATTACGAAAACTCTACAATTTCAAAACAACATATATTTTAAAAGTTAAAATACTTAATACTAGGCTTAATATATGGTTATTGTTAGACCCTCAAAGCTATCATTTTCAATGAAAGAGATATGAGTAATTCAAATTTTAACTAGGCAGGTTTTGTGTAATAATTTGATTTTATTGTAAAAACTAATATAATATGTCAAATAATTGTCAAAATGAATATGAGTTTACCATTGATTAAAAAGTCTCATACTTTTAATACTACATTAAAGTCTTAAAAATTGACAAGAGTTAAAATTCGAATAAACTTTCTAAAAGGCGCAATATTTTTAAAAAATCACTTGTTCAACTGTGGGCATTGTATTCTATATTATATGTTGCAATTATAATAATCTAGAAACCGTACTACCTATACTTATGATACATACTTTAAATTTCAGATAAAATCATAATTCTTACTAATTATTTAATGCGCAAACGTCTTAAAAAATACATGAAACTAATTTACAGATTAACACAGATTTCAATAAGTTGTTTCTTGCAGTGACATATTAGAGAAATAAATAAAGTATGAATATAAATGACACAAAAAATTTGCATAATTTTCAAAATATATTGCTAATATACTTCTTAATAAGCCATTCAAGCATATATAAAGGGAAAACTTCGAATTTTGCAAACATGCTTTGAAAATTTGTTGGAGCAGTTCTTAATATATGATTAAGATCTAAGTGACAAACAATGTGGAATACAGATTACGAGTTATAGTTTAATCCTTTAACTCAGAATTTTTGAGCATACTTCTCATACGTTTTTCATTATTTTCTATTCACATCAAAATAAGAGAAAAATATTATATTTAGTATTTCAGTAATTTATGATTAAGAAATACAGTATGCATCACTGGTGTCTTTTCTTGCGTTAAAGGTAAAATCTTAAAAACACGGCTCACTTCCAAACAATAATTGCTCATGTTTGCTGTTATTTATTAAGAAAAACAGTTATTCGCCGTTAAAATTTCGTTAATTTACAAAATCATTAATTGATAAATTTTTAAATATGAATGAGAAAAAGATTTCAAACTCCACCGTTTACCCATTTGCGTCAAAGGGTTAATTCGTTACGGGAGAACTGAATTTAAATTTTTACTTTTCCGAATTTTATCCTCAGATCCATACACTTGTGACCTCAATAATTATATAAAACACTTGGCTTTCATTATTAACTTTTTAAATCTTGTCTGTTTTCGGACGTAAATCGATTAAGATAAATACTTTTTATTACAGACACCACAATTACTAAATACTTTTGTAACAGACATTTCATGGATTACAATTCACAGTTTATGGATAAGTATTTACATTTTAAGGATTATTAATCGTAAAATATTTAATAAAGTATTCCCTTTATTAATTTATTTAAAAAAAATATTAAAGGGCAAAAACTGTATACCTCGTAACACAACTATAAAATCAACTTAAATTAAATTTATGTATTACATGCAACTTAAAATTATTCTGAAAATACATTCATAATCTTTCTGCAAAGCATACTCACAAAAAAATATTTAAACAGACACTGTTAGAAAAATGTAAAGATCAAAATGGTTTTGAGTCATTTTTTTTTAATTTTATTTCCAATGAGCTGCACAATCGGTCTTGCCGATGAGCAGACCTAGTGCGTTCTCCAGAGGTGGTATCCACTCTTTCAGGACCACCACAATGGGTGAGATACCGTTGGTCATGTTAATTTGGACGTCTAGTTTCTGCCACACTAGATGGCAGCACCGAGACTCTATTTGGATGCTAAAGTGCACTAGGAATTTAATTTTGCCGGAAATGCCAAGAGCCAATAAGGCACTCCAGGGATCTTTTACATGCCGCATAATCATACGACATGGCAGCTGAGGATTTTCTGCATCCCGAAAATCCGGTGTCTGGGCAGGGGATCGAGTCCGCAAACTTGGGCTCAGAAGGCCGACGACAAACCAACTGCGCCACCCAGCCACTAATATAATACGTTTTGAATCATAGTCTGTGAAATTACAGAATTGAAAATTAATTTTAATTATTTTCCACCACAGTTACAGAAGAAAAGGCATATTGGCAATGATATAGTGTGTATTGCTTTCCTGGAAGCCGACGATACATTATTCGTTCCTACATGCATCAAATCTCATTTCCTTCATACTTTCATCGTCGTTCGTGCAAGTCCATCATCAAGTCTTAAAGATATTTCATACGAAGTAAGATTTCTTGTGATTAAAACTTAAGTTAAAAGTTTTTTATTAATTTTGTTAAAAACCACAAGAAGTAGGGAAAGATGTTAACACGGTATTGGAAGAAAGGATTGAAAACGAATAACGGTAATTAAACAACAAACAGTAAGTTTTCTAAGTCATCGGTAGAGTTAAACTTCTAAAGTCGTAATATAAAAAATTTTAAACTTTTTTTTTTAAAAAAACTGATGTTTATATTTATTTCAAGCAGTATAATAACCTTGCGAGGGTAAATCAAATATAAATAAGGCTTCATCAATAACTAAATATTAAAATATTACGAACAAAAAATAGAAATTTTTTATTTTTCTTCTTATTTTCCGTGAACTTCTACACACTTCCTCCAACCTGCTGGAAGTTTTTTAATGCCGGCGGAATCGAAAGAAGTAGACCATATAGTGAACCAATTGTACACAAAATCTCTCACCTCTTCATTGGATGAAAATCGCAAATCCCCAGAGGGTTTCTTTAAGAGGTCCAAACAAATGGTAGAAACAAATGGTAGTCCGCAGGTGCCAAACCTGGGCTATATGGAGGCTGTTCAACTATTTTCCTGAGTAATGCCTGTAACTTTAAATGTGTTACTCTAGCTTTATGAGGAGTAGCATTATCTTGTTATGGGAGAATTTTGCAGATCGGCATGCCACGTCTCTTGAACCGATAGGATGCTTTGATTTTCTCTAAAAGTTCTCAATGAAAATTTACATTAATTGTTCGTCGTTCATGAGGGAAATCAGAGTACACAACACCTTGTGAATCCCCAAAAAACACTTGTGAGTGCTCAACCAGCAGATAATCGAGAGATTTTGCTTTGAATGGAGCAGATTCATTTTTCCTTCGCCATTCCATACTGAAACGCTTTGATTCAGGGGTGTAGGATTCATCACACGTTTACATACATCGTTTACAAACTTGTGCCCCCGACAGGGTATCATTGCATAACTGTGGCTATAATCTGCGAAAGATTTTAATAGGCTTAGCATTTTCTCTTGTTGGAAAATTTAATTATTATGTGTTGAGCAACTTTATTAGGAACATATGATTCAAGCTACTAAAACAAAATTATTTGCAAAGAGCTAATTCGCAATAAAACAATTATTCAAACTCTAGATATAGTTCTATTGTTGCAATGACAACGAGAATAAAAATCGTCTGCTACTATTAAAAAAGTCTCATTTATATTTGATCCACCTACGTATAAGTAAAATATTATATATATAGGCTTTTATGCTTGTTTTTTATTAGCTTTTGCTTTCAATAACCAGTCCAACTCTGAATAATATCGTTTCCTGTTATATGAAACACTGCACACAAAACTAAGCTGTCTAAGCTGAGATAATTTTATATATGCCGAATTCATGTATGATAAGCGCAAAAATAAAGCTAATACAAGCTGCTTTTACTTTTCGAAGCACTACTTTAAATTATATTTTTTATACACTTCAGTGTAAAAACTTTTAGTGTAAAGTAACCGCTATTTTTGGTTTCGTAGTAATCGGAATACATTTTTAAGTATTGAGCTGTGGTTATCGTGTAAAAAATTTAATGATATTGACAAATAAAAAATTGTTTGAAAGAATTAGTGCAAATATATTATTAAAAATGTGCGTGTTTTTTAAGCGAAATGTTTTTTTTACACTAAAACTACAAATTGATTCGTATGTATATGAAGTTATGCGTTGTCAGTAAACAAATAAACAAAAAAATGAATTAATAAGTAAATAAAACTATAACAGAGAAAGAATAAATAAAAAAAATGTGACTCCATGTATAGCAAAAAATTTTAGTTTACCCCAATACCAAAAGTAATGACAACTTTGCGCCAAATTTTTTACAGTGTGTACACCAAAAACATTTATGTATTCATCTTTCTAATTCAAACTTCAAAAAGTTCAGACCACTTTTCAAAGTAATCCAAATTTACGGTAGTTGAATCAATGCGAATGTATTAGTTATTAACATGTACTTCTACAAATCTAAACTTTTTAAGGAATATTAACTTAGACATTTTTCTTAAAAAAGTATATATAATAGCATAAAAGTTTTTTCATGTATTTTAATTATTTTTTTTAAATTACAGGTATCTGTAGTTTCCAGGGATGAAGTAGGAGCTTATAAGCCTTATTTATGGCATCGTTCGAAATTTAAAAAAGTAAGAATCGCTTTCCCGCTCTAAGGGACTTATTTATATTTACAAAAATAATGCTGTTTAAAATGTTGAAATAATTATACTTGTATATGAATTAGAAAGCGGGATAACACTGAGAGCTTTTCTTTTTTTTNTTTTTTTTTTTTTTTTTTTTTTTTTTTTTTTTTTTTTTTTTTTTGAACTTCAAATGATGCAGAGGTCTTGAATACGTTTTACACCATTACAATTTTTTTTCATGTTCTTATAACTTTTGAAAAATTTATCTCAAAAAACTAAAAGATTTTTTTATTATATTACTCTATGATTTATGAATAGTATATATATTTTTGATACTTTACTTGTTTATCTCCTAGAAACTGATTTTCGTCACTTATTTTAAATTTTGATATACAATATTCTTAACAAAAAACTACAAAAAATATTAAGTAATTTTAAATTTTAAATTTTTTAAAAAGGCAATTTAAATAATAATAGCGAAAGTTATTAAAAACAAATTCATGCTTGGTTTATTTAGTCACAATTAAAAACACAATTAGTACACAAACTAAAAACATCACTTTTTTAAAGTTTTTAAAATTTAATTTATTACAATGCTTTCGCCAAAGATCTGTGAACAGGTTTTGTGCCCTTATAAAATGCTATAAAGACGCAAAATGTTCGAAAACAATGCATGTACTTTTGAAAAAAAGTTCAAAAATGTGACCCTTTAAAAAATTTTTTATTGAGACAGAAAAAAAACAATTGGTTTTGACGAATAAAAACAATAAACTTAAAATTTAGGAGAAAAAGGATTTCCTAAATATCACATTGACGTATAAAAGAAATAATGCGTATTTAATAATTTTTGTAATTAATAAAACGAAAAAAATTCGTTAAGCAAGCATATACCTGGTACGCTATATTTTTAGTTTTATCTAACCTAAATTTTTATGGATTGTACACAAATTAATCTGATATATACAATACTTAATTTTACTTGCTTTTAATTTAGGAAGTTTTATTTATACAGAAATGTTCCTAAATAAACATCGTTTTGGTAAAAGTTGAATGAAAAAGAAATGATTTTCATAACATATAATTGTATAGTCAACATGCTCTAAAGTAAATTTGATTTTAAACACATTCCACCAGCTTAACAATAACATAATATATTTTTTCATTCTGAACTCAAAAAAAAGTTATAAATTATGAAGGAAATTCCAGCAGTTTTCATACTAATGCTAAACAATACCTCACAGTAAACGTCCCCAGTTTGTTTTCATTTATCAAATTCTATAAATAAATTAAATTTTTGCAGCGTGCATTAACTTTGTAAAACTTAATAAGCAAATTATATTGAATTTCTACTTAGTATTACAAGTATATGTGTTAGGAGACAAATGGAACAATTTCAGTTGCCAAAAATTATTTGAGTAAATGTTATACTATTCATTTAATAAAAAGAAAAATTATAAAGTAATGAAAATCAGTGATGTTGTTTACTATAATATATATTAAAAATTAAAATTAAAAATGAAAGCATTTATTTGTTGTACAAAGAATTCAAATTAATTTTATAATATGTTGGAAATGATTTTGCTAAATCGTTTGCATAATTGTTTCCTAAACTATAAAAAAAAATCGCTTCGTAATCATGTTATGAATAAGACAGCTGATTTTTGAATAATTTTTATTTGTTCAGATCTACGCAAATGCAAATTTAGAAATACATAATTCTTGGATGCATTTTTTTAAATTCAGGATCAACTTTTCCGGGAATGGATTTTAACGAAAATTGTAAATGGTGAGAGGGCGAGCTATTCAGCACCAAAATTTGCAAGAATGCAGGTAAGAAAATTTTCAAATTTTGTATCTTAGCAAAAGATTCGAATCTCTTAACAACTCCATTTGAACATTTTTCAGACTATTAGAAATGGGCAAGGTTTATATGTACATAATTCTACTAAATAAAAAACTTATTTTAGATAGATCCTATTGGGGTTACTTTTATTCCTAGAACCACGTCCAATTTTGTGATCAAGTATTGTGAGTAGTTTTATTTTTGTTCCTTTAAGTTTCATATAATTAGAAAACAATGATTGTCACTTGTTATTGAGAATTGGGGAGGGGAGAACAACAAATTTCGGTGAAATTCTTTATAAGATGATAAGTCAAAAATAGTACTTCTTAGACATAAAAAACATTCTGAACTACCTAAATTTTCAGTTCTATTTTATATAAAACGTTTGTATTTAATCTTATTCGATTTAGAGTTAACAAATACAATGAATTCAATGAATCTCTCACCCAGATAGTCAAAAGATATCAATTTCAGGCATCGATTTCAGGCATCAATTTCAAATATCAATTTCAGGCAATAAATAAATAAAAATAAGAACTTTTTATACGTAAAAACCTTCTAACTTCTAAACTATTTTCTCTATTGACTTGCGCTTGGTTTTATTTGCTTCAAAGTGAAAAACATTTATAAAAAAACAAAAAAACTCGTGGGCCTTATAAAAAAACTCCTTTGCTTAAATAGCAAAACGATAGCAATGTTAGACGTAAAATTAAGAATAAGTAAAAAATTGTATTTCTTACTTATATTTGGTCTCACTAGATTCAGCGTAAACAAATATTTTGGAATTAACACTTTACTTGTCTAGATAGAAATATCAGGTGCAAAAAGAGCTATAAGTATGAAATTGTATGATTTCCGATCATAAAAACCCTTATAATTTCGGAACTATTAGTTTTTCCGACGCTGATATGGCTTTTTCAGATTTAGCGTAAATTTCAATTAGAGACAATACCTCATTTGTCTAGATGGCAATTCTTGAGTTTCCCTCAAACATCCTTCAATCTTTTCCCATCTGCGGGAAATAAGAAAAAACTAAGACCACCCATAATACTCAATCACAAAATTGCACGTGGAGTGTTGTTACGAAACCTACCAATTGGTTTCATTTTAAAATGAAGCATTTTTAACTGGTTACTCAAAATTTCTCTTTAAAAATCAAACAGGTTTTAAGACTAAACGCTGCATCTGCTGATAAAATAACTTTATAGATCAGTTCATCTACTGTTTAGTTCTAATATTAAGAGTAATGGTTGCAATTTCATTTTCTTGATTCTATTATGGCTTGAACATGCATATTTTAGAGTTGAACCGTACAAAATATTCAAACTATCAAATTTTTCTTCTACGGGGTGTTCCGTAAAGGCTGTCCTTATTATTTGCCCAGTGGTGAAATGTTCGTAAAGATGCGGTCCCAAGTAGAACACCAAAGTCACGCATCACTGACTGCTGTCAGTGAACAGATGGGTGGCCACTTTAATCAGCTTGCGTAGGGACTGAGAGTGCCCTGGTATCAATCTTCGTTAAACCGTTCTTCCGTAAAGTGCTCAATTTCGCGTGCAGGTCGTCGTTCTACCAAAGTGGGAGAGTCATCCCCTTTTCAAAATATCAGACTTGTGATGGCATATCTTCGGATCATCCTCGAAGATATTTCCCCCTCAGTCACCAAGAGTCCATTGTAGAGCTCTAGTGCGACATAAATAAAGTACTATTAGTATTATTACCTTAATATTTACTTTCCGAATTTTTGTAAAAAAAAATTATGAAAACACTGAACATTAATAGTCGTAATTTCTTGCTAAGGTGGGGAAAAAACTGCTCCCAACTCTGACAAATCATATCGAATTATCGAGGTTAATGATTTGAAAATTCAATTCCCATTCCATACTGGTTAAAGTAATCAAAAACCAATTTATTCCAAGCTGAAGCTGAAAGATTGTTTTTAACAAAATGTAAACGCATCCCAACATTGATAAATAAACTGAATTTTAATGATTCTTCTTTGTCCCGATAGAATTCGATAATGATTGGTAGCCATTAAAAAGAAAATTCGTACCTAAATATTAATTTACGGCCCTTTGTACATAGTTCTTTATCCATATTTTTATACAAATTCTAAAAACACATAAAGGTTTAAATTTTGTGCAGTTGTTTGAAGTCTCTTAACAGCATACTCTAGCACTTCAAAATAATTCAATACAAATTAAATAAATTCTGTAAAAAGTATTGAGAATAAGCAATATAATCTTATCTTATAAAGTCTTATTCATAAGTCGCATTACGTCTTACTATCTTATTAAGTATTCATTAAGTCTTATAATAAGTCTAATTCATTTCATCATTATAGGACCGAACGAGAAGCCAAATGTTGGAAGATATTGTTACCAATCTACAAAACCACGTGGAGACTGGACAGATCCCTAAACCATACAGGTAGTGTATTTTTTTTAAGGATAATAGCATTATCGAACTTAAAATCCCCTTGGACGAAAACTTAAAATCCCCTTGGAATATTATTTCCTTTCTTCAATCTAAATATTGGATGTTGGTAACATTTAAGAAAAAATAATAATAAAAGTAGAGCAATTCCTCAACAGCCCATTTCGAGACAATGGGTCATGGAGTTTAAGGCTACGCAATTTCTAAAGTAACGGCATGATGTACCTATATGGTTAGCATGACACGCCAAACACCTTTACTTCCCAGACAAGTTAGTCAAGCCGCCAAATGGTACAGAACCTCAGACCTTGACAATGAGAGCTAAGGGCCTAAACTAATGTGCCATCGCTGTGTTGCTAAAAATGTCAACCTCCCAACTGTGGAAGAGATGAATCATACATAAGTAGATTGTTGACTAAAACTGAACGTGGAGAAGTATCCGATTTCCCCTCTCCATACAAAAGTTACTACTTAAGTTAAAGATACTTAAGTAGTAACTTAAGTCGTTCTACTTCAGATTTTGGTGAGTTTTCTCAAGCAGTTTCAAAAGTGTAAATATAAAAAGGTAACTAACTGCTTAAAGTCCAATATCATGCAAAATTTCACTTTTTCAATCTACCCTTCATCATTGTGACTTTCCTATTCAACACATTTCCTAACAGCATACGTCACAGGTCCATAATCGCTTTTAGAAAACGAGTTCTAGAAATTCATCACAAACTCGCTAGAAATATTTTTCGATATATGGGTGATTCTCACGAAATATGACAATTCACTGTCTTTTGCTCCAAGATCTAATACTAAACAACTAAAAGAACCTTTTTAAAAAAAATTTAATAAATAGCATTGCTGTTAGCATTTTAAAATGACTTTGCACTAGCATTGACTGTTTTGTACAGTTTAAAAATTTAATTGAATATCAAAATGTCATTTTCCTGGTATGTCGCAAACAATATTTTCAATAATAACTAGCTTCAAAACTTCCCATACATTTTACAATATCTAAGTTTTTTTTTTATCTCAACCGTTGTAAGCATTTCTAGAATATATGCAGAGGGTATTATTTCCAAAAACTTTGTTTAAAATAATTTTTTCTGTCAATAATTTGTTTTTCACATGAAAATCTGTCATTTTCCTGGCCATATTTTTTTAGTAATTCATAACCAAAACAGATACCTCCAGCAATTAATATCTTAGGTAAAGAGATTGATTAGAATACCATCCTATCAGAACTCGTCTAATTGCAGGAATCAAGGACCAACTTTCTAAGTCAAAATGTATTTCAAAAAATTTCACAAGGTGAGTAGGTTTTTATGTTCCCATTTTCCTGTCCTCTAGAAATCATTAATAACATAAACTATTTGCATTTACCTCAGTTATTTCAGGAAATCCTGATGTTTTCTGCGGAAAGTAAGCGCGTTAGGCCGAAATGTTAAATTAAAGTAATGTTAAATGCTGTAAAATGGCAAAATTTTCATTATCCTAGCTGTCATTTTCCTGGCTTATAAATTCCAGGACATTAACACAGTTATAAGAAAATTTTTCAAATACTATAATGTAAAGAGGGAAAGCAAATATTAAACTAATAACCAGTTTATGAAAGATTGTAATCTGCTCATATGTAATTAAAGTTATTTATTTATTTAATGATTGATTATTATACACAATTTTATTTCGTACATATTAACAAAAAAAAACATTTTAGATTCTTTCTACAGTGGATAAAAGAATTAATTTAAACAAATTATGGTCCATCTAACGAAAAGGCGTTAGGTTATTTTTTTTTCGAAACATATATAGTTAAAAATATAAAGGATAAGCTAAAAATATCACTGTACTATTTAATTCTGTCGTATGATAGCGTTTAAAGACTGTGTAGTTTTTAAGCTCTGATTGGGTGTATAAATTAAGGAATAAAGTTGTAAAATAAAATGATTTGAAATATTTTAAATTTAAATAATATTATAAAAAAATTTCCGATGTAAATTATTATCGAATTAATTTTAATGAAACTTTTTATAAAATTAATAAAAAAATTCCTAGGATTATCATTTTCATTGTAGTTGAAGTTTTTGAAGTCGTCCATAAAGATATTGAATTTAACTTTAATATTCATGCTGGCAAACAGACTGCTAATAACTTTAAGTGGCTCGGGAAAAAAGACTGCCTCAAAATTTCTTAGAATATCACAAAATCAAAAATGCCTGCTCCTTACCCAATATCTTCCAGGCATTTTGCTTCTTCTGAGAGCTTCAAGATTAATGAAATTTTACAAAAAAAAATTTTTTCTCTGTTTTAACTGTTTCTTTGCAAATTAAAGTGTAGTAAAATTAAAAACTATCTCACTTAGTGTTACTCTCTCACTTTCAATATACTTAACTAATTTGTCAAATTTGTTCAAAATATTTATTTTTTGGCATTTATTTACATAGAAAGTTAAAATTAACTTCTCAACTTTGTTGAGTTTGTCTTTTTTGAGTTTCTTTAGTTGAGTTACTTACTATTAGCTTAAAATGACTGTTTTCTTAACTTCCAAGCTAATATGTCATTTTAATGGTCTTCTAGTCCTTTTCCTGGCATTCAAATTTTGGTGAATTTCTATTTTATTTTTCTTCTTGAGCAAATATCAATCAACTACACTGCTGTCTGTAAGATATTAATAAAAGTAACTAAATAAATATACAAAAAAAATTTAGATTATTTTGAAGACTTTAAATTTGAAGAAATTTTTTTTCCGAGTTGTCATGCTTCCAAAGAATCACCCATATATTATTTTTAAATATTCATTTAGTATGCCTTTTTCAATGAGAACGCGTATTAAAGCTATGATTAATAATGATTAATCTGTTCTTTTCTTTACGAGTCCCACTTTACAATGCCAAGAAGAAAGGCATATTTTTGTTTCATTAAATTAAATAACTTATTATCTATACAGATTCGGCAAGCCTTCTAGCAAAAATTCTCTTATATATATATATATATATACATGCAT